CATTAAATGTAGCTCTGATAAAGCACGGTCCCTACTATGTATCATAAAGCAGGTACTAGATATTTTACATTCATAGAGGTATGATACAGTACCATCCTACATCAATAATACTAGATTCAGTTTTGGTTAGAAATTTACTTTGTAAATAAGATTGCTACCCCTGTTTTTTTCTGGGCTCCTGTCACATGGAGAATTGTTTTCTATCTTTTCACTTTCAGTCTATGGGCTTCTTTTTGCACTAGGTGTGTTTCTTGTATACAACATATTGTTGAATTTTGCTTCTTATTCCATTCTGCCAGTCTATTTCTCTTGATTGGCGAGTTGAGGCCATTGACATTGCTGGTTATAACTGATATGTACTGACTTACTTTTGACATGTTATTGGCCTTTTGTTGACTCTTTTTACTTTTTCACCTTCTCCTTTTAATTTCTTGCCTTGCCTATTTGATTTGCTCTGTTGGGCCTCATGGTGTTGCTGCCTTCATTGTCTTTTTCTAGGATCTTGTTTAGAATTGCTTGTAGTGCTGGTTTGGTTTTCATGTAGTTTCTCAGGTGTTCTTTGTCGTGGAAGTGTCTTATTTCCCCCTCCATTTTGAAAGAGAGTTTTGCTGGATACATCAGTCTAGGTTGGAGGTTGTTCTCTTTTAGGATTTGAAATATCTAATTCCAGGCTCTCCTTGCCCCAAGGGTTTGTGTTGAAAAGTCAGCTGTGATTCTGATGGGCTTTCCTTTGTATGTGATTTGTTTCTTTTCTCTTACTGTTTGTAGTATTTTGTTCTTCTGTTGGGTCTCTGGGATCTTCATTATTATAAGTCTAGGTGTAGATTTTTTTCGATTGTAGCTAGTTGGGGTCCTATATGCCTCAGTTATCTGAATGTCAAATTCTTCCCCTCTGTTTGGGAAGTTTTCTGTCATTAATTCTGCAAACAGCTTTTTTAAGTCATTTGTATGTTCTCCTGCTACTTCATGGATTCCTATCAGTCTTACGTTATTCTTCTTTGCATCATCTAGGAGTTGTTGGATCGATTTCTCATGATCTCTTACTGTTTTTAAGAGACCTCTCTTTTCATGGTCACTGACTGCAATCTTATCTT